AAAATGTGTTCACAGTCTACCCAGGACCACTGCTGCTAATTTCTGGGTATCTTTTGGCTAATGTATCTTACAAATTGCCAGCATAAAAGACAGAAAGAAAGTTGAGAAATCATTTAAGACCTGTTCTACAACTCTTACATGGGCAGCATTTGTAGGTAATCACTAGGACTGCTTGTGCTGTTAACCAGCAGTGAATAAAGTCAGTGGAGTCTGTCTGCAGAATAGGGCACCCTTTTGCCTAGAGTTAAATTCTGTTTGACTTTGTACTAATGAAAATATGTAAACTTAAACCCACTTTGATTTTCAGAAGGAGGCCTAAAATCAGATGAACATTAATTACACAGCAAAAGCTGCATGATAATAACTCAGGAATAAAGAGTGCAAATATAAAATAAAATAAAGTAGGAAGACAAAGCTTATAAGTAGAATGGGATAAAATTAAAACCAAATATGAGATATGAAAGTTTAATTTTGCAAAATACTGAATCGAAGGGAAGGTTTGATTACCTTCCTCTCCTCCAAAAAATTACAACCTATAATTAACTGCAGAAACAGTGGGAGCAGAGATGGTAGCATGTATGTAAGCACAGCCCTAACTATAGAACCAGGAAATGATTCTATACCAGACAATTACAACTGAAACGAAAATCTTGCAATATAATTTTTTTGTCCCTCAATTTCTCTATAAACTATATATCTCTGAATTCCTGTATGATGTGTTAGGCCTCATGTGTAAGTAATTTTTGTTTGTGAGAGCAGTGGCTCTCATAATTAAAATCACTCATTTGCATATGCAATTTTTTTGTAGAATTAGGATCTCAGGTTTCCAAGTCTCCAAAAGGAGAAACATTAACATGCAGAAATCATGCTGGGAGAGGAACCATGATCTCTAATACATTCAAACTCTAAGCAAGGCTCAGAAAGAAATGGATGGGGAAAAAATCAATTATGACAGTAATATAAAAAGCAGCAACTACAAAATTATTCTGCATGGCATATGCACAGATGTGTTTGGGATCTTCAGTCAGTTCTGAAGAATCAGGAAGTTTTCTCAGCAGGAAGAATGGTGGGTGCCTCCAAACTTGGCGGAGCTCAAACCCGGTTGAGTTGCTGCTCTGAGCCGAAGTGGCTGCATTCATGTTCCCATGATGATCCTTATTTGTTTGTTTGATGTCTAGCACGCCTTGGGGAGCCCGGCAAAAACCTCCTCAAACATTACACATATAAATTCAATCTGCTGAAGCCTAGAGACTTGTAACTAGTGAGCTGTAGTTCATCATCTTGGCTGTACCTCTATCAATGTAAAGGCCCTGGTGCTATGAGCAGATGGGGTGTCTGGGCAAGGGCTCCCTGCCACCTGTCTGGTTGTAGAATCGAGGCCTTAAAGTGCACTTTCTATTTATTCTTTTATCAGACATCTGTGCTAACTTAAATAAATAAAATTGCATTTTTGTACCTATGTCTCACTTATGTATTACCAAATAAAGTGGACCAAAAGCTCTTGGACATTACATTAAAGCATAATACCTGACTGACCTGTGACTATTCTAATATAATTTAGCATTTGGGACAAGCCTATTAAGCCATTTTATTTTATTACAGCAATATAAAAACAAAAATAATGATGAGAGCAATTTTTATTTTTGCTTTCATCTTTCCTGCACACAAAATCATTTTGGTGGTTAAACAAAAGGTATTTACCAAGCACAAACCTATTCATGTCCCCTTACAATAATGACACGTTCAGAAACTATGTAATCTTCAAGTGCCAAAATGATAAACTTTCGCAGTTTGATCTAAACAAAGAACTCTATTTTCTAAATAACTTATTCTTCCAAAACTTCAGCTATCCAGTAGATGAAAGATGCTTACACAAATATTTAAACTTTCTGTACACTTACAATATAACTCTTCAGGACTAAAGACAGCACAGTAGCAGATTAATTAGTGCTGGGTAATCCTCACCAGAAATAAGATGTAATTTGAATGAAATTACCTACTAATTATCTAGAAAACAGATTTGATATGGCTTTTCAGCTTAAACCTCTGATCAGTGTAGCAGCAGTTAAAACAGAAAAAGGTTCAGAGTGGGGCAGAGGATATTATAAAAAATACCTTGATACCAAAAAATTCATCTTCACCTGGACAAACGTGCAATTTTTGTCATCTTTCTTTCACAGATTAAGGGGACTAGAAAGAGGATGGTAAGAAATAACAGGGCCACTGAAACACTTAGATATGATAATAAATGGTAATGATGTCAGTCAGAAAAGAAATGAATCAAAAGAGGCATCATAAAGGTATGTCAAGTGAACAGTATGGAGAGATAAATGGTACTGCCTACCCATCTTTCTGAGGGAACGAGGAAAGAGGCAAAGAATTGAGTTTGCCCACGGTTGAATACGGAGCTTTGAGCCACTGTGAGCCAAAATCTCATCTCCAGGAAATGTCACTGGAGGAGACATTGGCATTGCTCTTGGAGATGCTTGAGTTCTCTTCCCACGCTGGAATGTGCCCTAAGTGTGTGCCAGGTTGTGTACTTGCATGCAAACAGTGTAAATCACTAAGTGAGCCAGCACTTCACAACAGATTCAGAGGAGACTTCAGAGCACCCCTCAGAGTGAAATGAAGTTAAAAAAGTGTTGGATCCACAACCCTTCACGTCCACAGGATCAGCTTTCCAAAAATGAGGTGCCTCTAGAAGGCCTCTTTGCACATACCTCCTTTTGAGGGAGGAAACAGAATCACAGTCACAGAATCATCAGGGTTGGAAGGGACCTCATCCAGTCCAACTCCTGCCAAGGCAGAGTCACCCAGAGCAGGTGACACAGGAACGTGTCCAGGTGGGTTCTGAATGTGCCCAGAGAGGGAGACTCCACAGTCTCCCTGGGCAGCCTGTTCCAGTGCTCTGCCACCCTCATTGGAAAGAAGTTCTTTCTCATATTGAGGTGAAACTTCTTGTGTTTCAGTTTTTGGCCATTGCTCCTCATCCTGTCATTGGGCACCACTGGAAAAAGTCTGGCAACATCCTCTCAGCACCGCCTTTGAGATTTATATGCATTAAGGAGATCCCTTCTCAGTCTTCTCCAGACTAAACAGGCCCAGCTCCCACAGTCTCTCCTCATAGGAGAGATGTTCCAGACCCCTACTTGTCTTTGTGGCCTCCACTGGACTCTCTCCAGCAGCTCTTTGTCTTTCTTGTGCTGAGGAGCCCAGAACTGGACACCACACTCCAGGTGTGGCCACACTAGGGCCGAGCAGAGAGGGAGGATCACCTTGCTTTATAATCTGACAAGGGCTTTTTGCCAAGAGGGAGGATCACCTTGCTTTATAATCTGACAAGGGCTTTTTGCCAAGACCTATGTGCTCAAAGACCTATCCCATGCAGACACACATCTGTTGTACACACCTGGTTTTTATAAAATTCTCACTGAAAAGAGAGATAATCACATCTCTCACTGGTGACTCACTGAAACAAAAAACCACTAATTTCAGTATCCATCATCAGGGGGAGTAAAACAGTAGTAAGTGAAAAAAAAAACAATGAAAAATTGACAAAGCCAGAATCACATGAAGTCAAATAAAAACAGGATAATTAGTCAGATCCTACCCCTGGAGATTTAACTGCCCGTGATTTGGCTTTCTAGGCTGCTTCTGACTTTGGCTGCTGTAAATGTTACTGTTTCATGTTGCTCAGTTCACTGCTAAACGTGTGGCATCTGACTCCTCACCTTGTTAGCACATTCTGACAGCTTTTGTGAGAGCTGCTTGGCCCTCATTGTTCTGCTGCTGGATTTCTAGAACTGTGTGGTTTATCTCTGTGGCCATTGTTAAAGGATGGAAAAAGAGAATTCATTTAACAGATCCATGTTTTGCTGTATATTGTAGCAAAGCTTCTGTTCTTTGTGGGGTATTTTGGTGTAGCAAAGGCACAAATCCTTGCTCTCTTGCCCCCCCTTCCCCTCCTTTCCCCAAAGAGCATGAGGAATATAGCTTGTCTGTCTGATGTTCCCTGTCTGAAGCAGTGAGATCTGCTAATGCAGATCTCAATGTACACCTCAGGCAAGTCCAGAGGTGTATACTCACTGAATCCTGAGATCAAAACTCCGAGGTGTCCCTGAAAGAGGAGGATCTAAAATATACCAAAAGCACTGGCTGTACAGTTCCAGGCTCTGGAATCTGACAACAAATTAATCAAGTTCCTCCACCAGCAGTTAAATCAGAACGCCTGCTCAAAGTGGATACACTCATCAGTGGGATATAGATTCATGTTCCCTCTTACCCACATGTTTTTCCTGGGAAATCTGGTCCAAATCTCTTAAAATCTGGTTTAAGAGATTCTGGTAAGACCCCATATATGGTGGTTGGTCTTCAGAGTGGGGCTTCCCCAAAATATCCCCTGTGCAACAGGACTGGCTTCCCACAGTGCACAGAGAACAGACGGACATTCAAAAGGTTGAGCAGAAGTTTGGTCCTTGTCTTTCTCCTCCCAAACTGCCCACTAATTCAAATTTGCTTCAATATACTGATTATCTGGAGTTCTACAATCCTTTCACCTGATATGGAAGTCAAGCCCTGCTTAATATATGATCCTTAATAATGATGCAAGTAGAAGGCATCTTAGAAGAGAGACAAATGTTCTTTTTAATCTGAATCTCATCCTTCAGCTATCTGAATACAGCTGGCACTCGGTGTTGGTTTATTCTCCCTCCTCCACCCCATGAGGATTGCAAAGGGTTCAGTGTCCTCTCAACACCTGTGACACTTCAGTGCTCTGAAGTTACCTAAAATGCGGGACATGGTAGTTCTGCTGGGGTATTATGGAACGACAGCCACGTCCACTACATTATATTCCTAAATAGACTGCAGATTACACAGAATCTATACAATTTATAGGGTTGTACAAACACGCAGTTGTAATTTAAATCAGGAATGGGTTTTAGGATGAAGCTTGAGATATCAGATGCCAGCTCGCCTAGATAAACTCTGTTATGTGATACCTGCGCCACTATCATCCCCTCAGTGCTGCTCCACAGGGAGATCCCGGCTTTGCAGGGAGATCCCGCTTCCACGGGGGAGATCCCGGCTCCTCAGAGGAGATCCTGGCTCCACAAGGAAATCCCGGCTCTACAGGGGAATTCCAGGCTCCTCAGGGCGATCCCGGCTCTACGGGGAGTTCCAGACTCCTTAGGGGAGATCCCGGCTCCACAAGGGAGATCCCGGCTCTACGCGGAGTTCCAGGCTCCTCAGGGGAGATCCCGGCTCCACAAGGAGATCCCGGCTCCACACCCCCGCCGTCCTCCACCGCCGGCGGGCGGCGCTCGCCGTCCAGCACCGCCCCGGCCCCTCACACCGGCCGCCCCCTACGCTCGGCGGGGAGGATTTATCACGTTTCTCTCAGTGTATTTTATTCTGTTCCTGTTTGCGGTGATCTGTGCTTTGTTAACGTTTCACTCGTACGGTGTTTGTTTTGTTGTGTCGGTTGTTTTGTTTTGTTTTTTTTTTCCCCTGTCGGTTTTTATCCACGCGGGAGTTTATTCCCACTTCTCTCCCCGCGCGCGCGCCCTCAGGGAGTGCCGGCGCCGCTCCCTTGGCAACGGCGTCCGCGGCTCTCGCGAGATCGGGGCGCCTCCCGCGGCGCCTCCTCCGCGGCAGCGGGGGCGGCTCTCGGCGAGAGGTGGCGGGGTGTGCGCCGGCTGGCGGGCGGCGGGAGCGGACGCGGCTCGGCCGGTGAGTGAGCGGGGAGGGAGGGAGGGGGCTGAGGGGGCACAGCCGGGGCGTGCGGCGACCCTTCGCGCGGGGAACCCCTGCCGCCCTGAACCACAGAACCCGCAGGGTCGGAAGGCATCCCCCTGCCCGACCCCCCGCCCGGGGCAGGGCCGGCCGGAGCAGGTGGCACAGGAAGCGCGTCGGGTGGTCCGGGATGTCTCCAGAGGGGGAGACCCCGAGGCCTCCCCGGGCAGCCTCGCTGACCGCGTGCTGAAGGTTTTTCACCCCAGAAACGCCGCAGAGGGATTTACCCACCCCCGCCACCCCTCAGCCCCCGCGGCCGCTCCGATCCGTGAGGGGTCAGTGACCGCGCTGGACGCGGCTTAAATTGATGCTTTTCGTCATGTGTCGTTTACTGGTAGGACCTGCCTTCACTGCGAGGCCTGTGCAGAGACAGTATTGTTGCTCAGGACTGCCTGACAGCCGTCGTATAATTCCCGAGCACACTTATTTTACATAATCCATGAGCAGTGATTTACCCACTCAAACGATTTCGTAATGAGTTCGGTATCTTTGTCATTTTTTTTTCTATGTCAGCATGTTTTATTTGCAGAAAATACCAATTGCTTGTGTGATAAATCTGTCATAGCACAATTATGTGTTGCAGTTGCCTGTTTGGTTTTTTTTCTTTAAATTTACTTTTGTTTCTAGCTATTGCTTCTGCATCTTTTTCTCTGTTTATCATCCACTGTGTCACTTAAGAACTCTTTTCTTTCAGAACTGGGATCCAGCTCCATCATAGACCTCTCCCAGGTTTGTTCCTGTCACTTGTGGGGCTTCTTTGTCCGAAGTAGTGGTTGAGCATTGTATCTTTTTGTTCTTTATTGTTGGCTACCTCTTACAAATTTGAGTACATGCTTAAAATCTGGTTTCTCAGTAGCCTTTTTGACTGTCCTTGCTGTTCTCCTCACTTCTGTTTGCCTGTATTCCTTGTGAATCATCTGCTGTGATTCATTTAAAGAGTACTTACCTCTGTTCCTTCAGCTTTGTTGATCCTTTCCCTGGAATACACCCCCCCTCTCTCTCCTGGGTTTCCTATTGAATTAGATGTCCCAGAAATACAATCCCAGTCATCAGCTATCACACTATTCACAGTCCATAAGCTGATAGTTCACATCTGTTATCTTTTATGTGAGCTAAAAAAACGTGCCTCTGCCTCATCGTGTGTAGGTTGCCTTGAATCCCTGTAGCTTGAGCACGAGTACAGTCAAAAGGAACTGCTTGATTTTTTCTTTTCCCCTTTCTTTCTCCATTGCTCTGTAATTAAGGAAGATGTTCCACTGTGTGCATCCTGTCAGTGTGTCTTTGACTGGGTCTCTTGCAAGATATCAGAGATTTTCTTTTTAAGACACACAGATCTCCTGCCAACAACGTTTGAATATTCCCTCTTAATTTGTGCCGTTTCTGTCTCAAAACCTCATTGTACATCTTGTCTGTGCCAATGGTGCTGTCTGAGGCTGCTCTTGGATGTGTTTCCAGCACATTTGTGTAGGTGCTTTTGCCCAGTGTGTTAATGCCAGGGAAGGTGGGGGTTAGGAAGGACAACAAGGTGGAGCAGCTCTCATATCACACATTAGACTCCTTCTTGAAGCCCAGTTTTCCTTTAAGGCACAATTGCTCTTGCAAATGGTGAACAGCTGATGTGTGGATGACATGACTTGTTAAATTAGTAACAGATGTCATCCCTGTTGGTTTTACTGTCACTTTGTTATAAACTGTGTGTTTTCATAGCTTGTGTTCTTGAGGCTGGGGCTCCTTTGTCCTGTGTGCACACACGGAAATCAAAAGCTCATTATGAGCCAATTTCTTTCAGCACCGCTTTGCTTTAGCAGTGTTGTTCAAATCTTGGCCTGGTGCTCTTGCTTATCAATAAAAGTATGTATCTTTATATGTATAAGATCAGAAGCTAATTTATAATTCATTTCAGATGTGAAAAACTGTGTGAGAATTTTCTTGCTCACTGAGGTGTGTTGTTACTGCTGGGTACAGCCACGGGTATAGACTTCACTTATTTCTTCAGGAAATCTGTTTGATGCTCTGATCCTCTTCATCTCATCCCTGGTGCTGAGTGTGAGGAAGCCCTGTGTCTGTCTGCTCTGTGTATTGCTGGCCCACAGGCCATGGGGCCAGTAGTAGTGGCAAGGAGTTGGGTTCTGCTCCTCTTTCCTGCAGTGATAGCCAGGATTCTGCTTGGAGAACTGGTGGGAGAAGTTGCTCAATCCACTGAGCTTTTTGTGGGCAGACCTTGGCAGGTTTCACACGGTGAATCCTAGTACAGAGGGGGAGTTGGGAGTCATCTGCCTCTTGCTTTTCAGTCTTCCAATGTCAAATAGCTGTTTTATCATCATGTTCCCTTTGAGAATTATAAAGTTAAATCTTGCAGGATAGTCACTGGTTATCTGTTGTTTATGGTTCTATAGTTAGGAATATCAGCAGCTTCCTGTGACTACTCTATTTTTTTTTCTTTTTATTTGCTCATTAAGAGAAGCTTCAATCCTGACCCACTATGTTAATGTTGAGACTGTATTGCAAAGGATGTCTCTTAGCTGTGCTTTAATCAGTGTCAGTTTGGTAACATTTCAGTGATGGTAATTTATAAAGCTACTTTATGTGGCTGAATTGTGACTGATCTCTGCACTGCTTTGCAAGAAGCTCACTTGACAGGTATGGATTTCCATGATATGTGGTGTTTGCATTATGAGCATATGTCCTTTGAACTGCATTTTTTAATTAGGATGCAATGTCACTGTGCTTGCATTCCCAGTGAATCTGACTTGTAAGTTCCTTTTTGTTGTTGCTGCTTTTGTGCTTTGCTGACTCGAGGCAGCGAACAGGCTGTCACCCCTTACAGAAAGTCTAAATATTTAATCTGAGTTTCTCTGTCACAACTAATGCCAGGTTTTGTCCTACCTCGTTACTTGTCTTCTGGAGCTTTCTGATTATCCTGGTTCACCTTTACAGTGGATTTTGCTGAAGGGGCAGGTTAGAGCAGACAAGCTTCTGAAACCTGTCCTGCTTTGGGAAATGCTTCTGACCAAAGCTTAGAGCTGAGTAGATGCCTGAAGTGCTACGTGTTCATTATTTGAATGTTGTCTTCAGTACTGACAGCTGGAGCAATCAGTTCTTTGTTCTACCTGATGAGCTGGTGGCCAGAAGAAATTCAGGATATTTCAATCATCTTTCTTAGTAAGACTCCAGAGCTTTGCAGCCCACAATATTCTCAACAAACATCATGTGGCTGGCTGGAAATGTGTTGATACTGGTTGAGATTAGCTTTCCTTCTTTCCTCAAAGATTTACAAAGAGCCTTCTTCAGCCTCCCCTAACCTGCAGTACCTTGAAAACTGCAAGTCCTGCATCTCACCAAAGTATATGTCCACTTCTGTCCAGCATCTGATGTTGTCTAAATCTTGCTTAACCTGCTGTGCCTCTTTTGTGCATTGTATTTTGTCATGGCACAGAACCGAATATGCTTTGGATATCACTAAAAATAATCTGTTCAGCATCTATCACGGGATAGTGTAGGATACATCTTTTCATGAGCTCTTCAAGTAGTGGTGTAAACACATTAATTACTCTATTTTTCAGTGCCCAGAGTGGTTCTACCACATCGACTTTTAGCTTTTCAAACTCACTGGGTATCTGTCTTTAAAATTCCCTTGTATTTCAGTAGCCTACAACTTTAATAAATTAGTGATGATTCTGGCTTCAAGTTGATGTTAGCAAATCTGAAGTGTTCTAGCTGTTTATGTTGAAAGCTTTGAAAATTAAAGTCTGCTTCCTGATTTCCTATAATTCCTTGTGAGGATTCTCTGGAGCATTAGCTTTCTGCAGAAGGGTATGAAATCATTCTTTACACCTGGAGAATTGCTTGTTAGCTAATTAGGATGGCAATCATTTGGGCCAACATGCCAGTGTTGTGTAATCTACTGAGGGTATTTGGATTTGATTCTGTATTTCCTGTGTTCCCAGTGCCTTTTCCCCTTTACCAACATTTCAGATGCAGTTCCTTGATTTCGTGGAAGGTATTGAATAATATTCCTGGCCATGCACTCTTGCAGTTGTGTTTTTTTTTTTTTTTTTTTTTTTTTTAGTTTTTGGGTTTTTTTACACCCAAGGTCAGAATGTGTCCTGAAAACATGCTTTGTTTATTCCCCCCACTGTGAATCCAAGCCTTAAAAAAAAAAAAAAAGGAGAGAGAAAATTAAACCACAGTTGAGGCATTCTTTTCTATTGCAGAAAAACAGTGGTTTTGCAGAATTGTTTAAAAATGAATCAAGATGACTAGTTAGTTACTGTACATAATGTATAAAGCATTTGCTAATTGAAAAAAACCCAAATA